CCTGGAGTTATCAGGGGTGATTTAGTTGGATATTAGAAAAATGTTTTTCCCTTAGAGGGTGTTTGGACACTGGAACAGGCTCCCCAGGGCAGTGGTCACAGAACCAAGCCTGAAAGAGCTCAAGAAGTGTTTGGACAGTGCTCTTCAGCACATGGTGTGAGTCTTGGGGATGGTCCTGTGCAGAGCCAGTACCCTGAAGAGGGCTAAACATATTGCACCTCTTGGTGATTTCATTTAGGGAAGCACTGGGTATTAATCAGCCTTTCTGGATGCAAATATTTCACACTTGACAGTAGAAAATTATTTGCCTTTGATGAAGCAATAGTTGCTAAGGTTATTTTAATTAAGCAGCAGGACATAAAGTCCTGGGATATTCTAACTACTTGGACTGCAGTATGGTTGGTCTGGATGATTATAAGATTTTGATAGGACATTTCTGAAGCACAGCATTATTTCTGAAAGTTCAGTAAATATCTAGTTACAGGACACATATTATTTTAATATGGAAATTATGCCAGTTCCTTAGAAGAGAAAAGGGATCAAGTATCAAATATATTAGCAGTATACAGTTTTAAAATAAATGAGATATATTGACTTACAAAAGACTTAGAGAAACAGTTCTCTGAAGGTCATCTGAGGTAAAGGTGTTTTGGCCATTTTGACAGACTAGTAATTTTCAGTATACTGAACAGACTCCTAACAAAGTTTTACTTTGCAAAAGTGATCCTTGGATTCTAGCAATACAGTCAGTTAATGATGCCCCTTGATTTTTGCTCAAGTAAACCTGAGATTTCTGAGACAGAAGGATGTAAACATCATAGGCCCAAGCGGAAGAAATTGTATTGAAATTAGATAGGGTCCAGTTATCTCACAACTAAGGCAACAATAAACCACAAATACAATTTATTAAACAACCCAAATGAAGTAACATACCACCTGCTCTCTTTATATGCAACATACTAAAAGTTACAGGATTTAAAATATTTAAGTTACTATCCAAAATTTATTCTCTCATCCATTTCTATCAGCTTTACAGCTTATCCAAAAATCTTTCTTCCTTATGACTCAGTCAGTAACGACAAACATCCCCCACTTGACTTGCTACCACCATTTGGCTCAGTGACCTTTCCTCATTTATAGGAAAGCACTGCATGTTCAGTTTAGCAAATTTACATCAGTTTTGACAACAATGATGGACATTTGAAATTACTCAGCAGCACACAAAATTCTAATACATGCAAAGCCTATTAGTCAAATTTAGAGCCTAAAAAAGTAAATTTGGAATTTGTAATAAAATCAGCATCCTACTTTGTGCAGACAACAGAATGCTGAATATTGTTTTCAGACATTTGGAATTGTAAATATATGCCTTTGGACAATGCATGTAATGTTTGAGGAAGCTTAGATCCAGACTACTCTGATTATTACTAAAGGCTCAGAAAAAAAGAAATGCGGGTTATTTTGTACACTATGAACACTACCTAAGGTAGAGAAAATCAAGTGAACTAGATATTTCCTTCTGTATCCTTTCTATTTAATTATTACAGGATATGGAAGTCTTCACAGACTTTAGAGATGATTACATCAGAACCAAAGAAAAAGAGGCTAAAATCCCCATCCTGAGTTGAACAGTAACCCAGAAATGCAAAGGAAATAAACTCTGGGTGTCACTTCATCCCCACAGGAAACCAGATGCAGCTCCTCACATGAAGAAAGAGCAGTAGGACCCATGGTGAACAGAGGCAAGGATTGAAGGAAAAAGAAAATTCTGCTGGGTAAAACTGAATGACTGGTGCACCGTGCAGTAAGGCAGATTTGAGGTTTTCAAGCAGGCACAGCTGATCTTCATCCCCATAAATAATGCAGCTCCCCCGTGCTGTCATAACGTGCCAGAACTGCCCACCCTGACTTTCTGCACTCCACAGCTCTCACCTCCCAGGTGCTACCAGCACAAGGGAGCACTTAAAAAAGTCAGACCCTTGGCAGGGAAGTTATGGAAAAATATGTCCACAGCTCTTTATCTTTGGGGCATGATGGTGATCAGATATCTTTGGGGCATGATGGTGATCAGATAAGACATACCCAGGACCTCTGCTAGCTCTGGTAAAGTAAATTCAGCTTCTCAGGACTCACAGATCCTATGCATTTCTCTGAAGTCCAGAAGTAAAACAGGAATCAAAGCAATACTAAAATGTAAGTGAAGTAACACAATGTTGTTCAAAGCTACTTCACATAAAAGAAAGGAAAAAAAGGGTTACATGGTTTTCCTACTATTTTTCCTGCAGTTACCCAAAAAAACCCCCCATAGAATAGATTATCTATCTGCCACACATGAAGCAAAGAGCAGCTACCAGCCAAAATGTTTACTTTGGGCTATGTATGAGCTCCACCTTTAAAATTGTGGTGAATACACTCCTACTGTCCAAACTGTAGATCCCAGCATATGATGCAACACTTTGATCTGTCAAGATATACTTTAATATCAGACAGAAAAATGAGATTAAATTTAAAACTCAAGGTATTCTAGTCCAGTGAACAGAAGTCATTCAATAAACCTGCTGACAGATCTTTTGTGCACTTAAACAGCTTAACTACTGTAACAGAAAAGGAGATCAGAATTATTCAAGAAGACAAAGAGAGCAGTCAATTTTCCTTTTTAAAGAAGAGAAGCATCGACAAACCTTTTAATCTAGGCAAGCCCAAGTATGTAACATATAAACATTAAAACTTACAGGTGAGGCTACGCTAAGGTCAATAAAGTGTCCTCCAGTCAACCTCTTAACACTCTATCTAGGAGTCTTACACTAAGAATGAAAAAAGATTACTATATTATATTTCTGTATCTCTACACATTCTATTTAATAAGACTAGGTTCAGATTGGTACATTTAAATATAAAAAAATATTCTGCATTTCATGCCAAAAATGGACTATGAAAACCCCCAGATAATACTCAATAGCTAATTAAAAGCTACAGAGAAATAGTCACTCACATCAGTGATGGTAGCACTTTCTGTCCTCTGTTGGCAAGCAAGGAAAAAGAAAACAGAGTAAACACCACCTCCCTCCTTTTCCTCCCATAAGCACATGGCTGCTGGCTGCAAGAATTTCTTCTCAGATAACATTTACTCTAAATGTGGAATTAATATCTGGCTTAAAACTCAGTAAGTCAGACAAGTCCTGGCTATGGTTACTGTAGGAGATATTAGGAGAGAAAAAGAGGTATTAGGAGTGATCCACTTATCATAAGGTTTTCAGTGTAACATTTTATGACCAGGGCAGATTACCTTCCCTTTCACATGAGACATGACCTTCCACTCCACAGAGCAGCAGAAAAAGTTCCCAATCTAGGAACAAATTACCAACACAAGTTGCAGAAGCATGACGTTCCCAGCTAATGGCAGCAGTAACTTGCACTGATGGAGAATTTCTCCTTCAAGAGTTTCAACAACTTGTTGGGAAATAAAAGCCCAGAACCATGCCTCAAAGTCCCTGCAGGTTAGTAAGCATTGCCATCTGTTTACAGAGCAAGGAGTTTTGTGCAGCTATTTGTACAGTAAACTTTTATGTCCAACCCTGTATTGCTGTAACTTATAGGACTATGTTCATCCCATGCTGCCTTTGCTTTGGGAAGTGACTGTAATAGTGCTACCAGCAGTTTGATAAATATTCATATTTCCATGCAAAATCTGCAAATAATGGGCAGCAATTTTGGGTATAAATTATGAACTGAAAATAATAAATTAAATGTAGTTTAAAAATGCACTCAATAGCTCTGGAAATCAAGAAGCCTATTTAGCGTTCTACATGAAATGCATTGCTTATTGTTGTTGTGTAAACAAAACACTTGAACATTTATTTTCATACTGTAAATTAGTCAGATCAGGGAAAAACCATTCTGAGTGAGACATCCAATTTATTTTGGCCAGTGATAAACTACTTAGATCAATCAATCAATGTTCTTCCCTTCAAAACTAGTTTACATATGAAGACCATTAATTTGAAAACCTATTTGCTAACTTATTGTACTAGAAAAATGATGTGATATTTCAGATGAGTCAAAGATGTTTTCTGAAACTTAGTAGCAGGTTAGTTTCATGGCAACACAATACAGTTCAATTTGACATTGTCAGTATAATTTAAGCTATAAGCTTCAAGGACTGTGTTATGCATTTCATTTGAGCTGTACTGACTTTAAAACATTTTCCTGAGAAGGAGGCAGTCTGATGTTATTTAAATAAATAAAAACACTGAATATATTTGTATGTATGGACGAATGAATGAATTATTGTTTCACAAAGAATTCTATTAGTGATTCAGTCCGAAACTTTATGAAATGTGATGGTTTGTACCTGGCCCCTTCCACTTTTGGTTCCCGTTTCTAACTGTGACTAACAAAGCAAATAAATGATGGCTCTGAACCACACTCCCAACCACCCACCCCGGCCACATTTGGCTCTTTCATTGCTATTCTAACATAGTCTGCAGAAATTTAACATTCACACAATGTGTAACCCTCACAAGATAAACCAATTTTCTCCAACACCAAGGGCTCTGTGGAAATCTGCACACACATTTCTCCCTCCTGCTTAGACAGACAATAAATGGATGTTTGCATCTCTGTGGGACTACCAGTGAGTATTGTGATAATCTGTATGTTTGTTAGGGAAACATATAATGCTTGTAAATAAACACTACCAAGCAACAATGCCATGTGTATCCTGCAAGCAAATCCTAGTTAGCAGAAATCACACCCTGTGCCACACAGAGATAGAGACAACGCTGTAAAGACTGAACTTTTGGGAAACAATGAATTATTTTCATAAGCACCAAAAGTCACAGAAGTTTAATTATAAAAGCTTCGCTACCACAAAGGACTAGTGATTACTAACAATACACTAGAATAAATTACAGTCTCAGGAAAATATTTTAACTTTTTTTTTCAGACAGGCACTTTCTCTGGCAGTAAAAATAAGACAATATTACTTTTAAACAAGCTAATGATTTAGAAACAGGTATTTAATGGTTCCATACGAGGATATGCCAGACAAGCAGACTCAGAAGGACTGTCAGGACCTGTTGATGGACATTATTTTCTAATAAGACTGACACACCTATCTTATACTCATATACTCTCTAGTATTCATATACTCTCTAGTCTCCACAGTGGATTCACAGCTTGCTTTAAACAGGGATTTTGTGAGAGTTACTGGGATTGAGCAGAAGTGAATTCTAGACTTCTTGATACCAATACATTCATATATGCATACACACACATAATTACTTTGTGCATAGGCTTCTTTAGAAACCATAATGAGATTTAACCAATTGTTATTTATTTAAAAAGTTAAAAAAAAAAAAGAAGTATCTAAGCAATAGCTTTTTCCAAGACTTTGTAGCAAACATGATGCTGAAGAACGTGTAAGTACTGGACTGAGTCCTGAGTCTCTGAATACCATTCCCAGCACAGGACTTTCAAATTTTCCTGAAGAATGCTTTAAGGATTTATTTCAGGCAGGAAATTCTGTTCAGGAAGAAAGCAACTGGACTCAACTGAATTCTTTTATCATATTAAATGTTCAGTTGCATTGTATCCTGAGAAGAATGTTAGAATTTTATATGGAGAGCAGGTAAAAAAGGAATAGAATAGACTAGACTAGAATAGAACGTAGAAAAAAAGGTAAGGGAAAAAGGCCATATACCATAATGCCAGCCAGAATGTTGTCTGGATGACTTGTGGCATCTTCATTCTTGAGAAAAAAAACTGTATCAAGAAGAATCCCCAAGAATATTTCTCACTAAGGACATTTTTGTACTGAGTTCTGTGCATAACAGTCTTGGAACAACTGGCTTAAGTATTCACAAACACAAGAAAACAACCAAGAAAATCTCCTCTGATCCCCACATTTTTTTTGAAAAGTAGAGAACTATGTATAATCTAGGACTTTGTTGGTGAGGGAACCCAAAAACTCATGAGAAGAGCTTTATTGAAGAGGTAGTTCAGAGAGCATCCTTGCCATCCACTACTGCAGCAAGTGGTTCTAAACATTGCCTTGTCAATTGCAGTTTCCTCTTTTCTTTTTCAAATTACATTTTTTTTTTAATCCAGAATGCTGATCTTCTAAAGACTGCTTGTCTACTGTATCTTGAATCATCTGGATGTTAGCAGGTCAGCATCTTTTCATCATGGGCAGCATAGAGATGAAAACAGAGGAACTAAGTGTTAAAGCCACATCCAAGAGTAAGGAAAGGAGTAGGTTAGCTGGAACAGCATTTAAATCCATTTTTAATGCTACAGCTACATTACAAAGTGCTTTTCATTTACCAGAAATCATAAGCATATGTGTATGGGTATGAGCCACTGCCAGAGGCAGTGGTTTTTCTATTACTCTCATTAGTTCTCTAACAAACACTACTTGTAATTAAATCTTATGTAAAAAGAAATATATCCCTGTTCTTCTGTGCTACACAAAGAATAACAAGGGGCTACAGCAGATTTACTCATTTTGGGTGCCTATACTAAAATAAAATAACCAAAACAGTAGATCAGTCTTTTGAGGAAGCCCCCATCCATTTGTCTTCCAAATACTAAATTTCAATTTTTCCAGAACTCTGTATGCTCTGTATGTGCTCCAAACACTCCATCCAAGTTACTACTGTTCAAAATTCTGCTCTGCAAAAAAAAGGAAAAATAAAAAAGAAACCGAGAAAATTACATCAGACCTGATGCACAGATACCATGAATTGTTTAGGAAGAGTGTAACTTTACAAGGGTAAAACGAATGTATTTGGAAAATGACAATCACTGTTGAACTATTAAACCAAAGATAACAACTCCTAATGAACAAGATCAACAGAATTTTGATGCTATGATTTTCAGTTGGGTAATGTTACTATTAAGAAATCAAAGTATTTGATAAAACTGTTTCCATTTGTTTTAAAACTTCAGAGAAATATGTTCTGAGGGTAATTAATGGCTATGTTTCGATGTTTTTGAAATAGAGTGCTTTGGTTGTCTTTCCAAAATATTTTATACATATACAATACTTAAGTCAAATGGAAATACTTCTATACCATGAGACCCAAATCCAAAACTATGTTCTTATACCTCAAGATTTTCCAAAAATGGCACATATTTCCACTAAAAAACTCTTGTACTCTTAAAATGCTCTTAAAACACTGACATCTCTAGTCAAGCATACATGATTCTGACAGAATAAGGCAATATATAAAAAAGAGCTTAAAATAATGGCAAAATGGTATGTGGTCACTGAAATAATAGCCAAAATTGAACTTCCCATAGAAAGAGGTATTAGTAAGGCCAATCACAAATCTGTGAGATTGCTCCACAAAATGATGTGAAAATGTGCAATGCCTGTTTGCCTGTGATTCTGGGCCATGCAGCTCCAGGCCAAAACAAGTGTCTGCACCAGGGGACGATGGAAACCATCCTGGACTCTGGAGCACTGTAGCTGCTTGCAGCCCGGCCTTTTTCATACTTTCCAAGGAGATGACAGAGAACACCACACACTCAGTAAATAGGAAATTAACTCAAAAAATCCTAAAGTTTATTATCACTCAGAATACAATCAGCAATTACATACAGAGAAGAAAAAATAAGTTATCTGCCTTCTTTGCACAGCTGAGGAAAACCAGATACTGTAAACTGCAATTCTGTCACCGTACACCTACAAAGAGGTAGGACATCTCTGCTGGACAGAACTGACAATTTTATTTTTTTTTCTGCACTTCTCATCTCAGCTACAAACTACCATTTTAGTCAGAAAACCATGCCTCTCTTTTCTCATTACTGTCTTGAACTTTTTTTTGGCTTAATCATTATGTAGACATTTTTCCTCCCTAATACATAGAAACATAAACAATCTGCTGGCACACCTTGTCAATCACAAACTTCATTAGGATATCCAGTGAGAAAAAGTCTTACTCAGCTTGGATAACTGTCACATGTAAAATTTGAGCATGGCTGCTAAAATACCTAAGTGATGAAAGTGCAAAAAGAAACACTGACAGGATTCTATAGACCAGGGACTAAAAGCAAAGTAAGATTTTTCCATTAAGGTGAACAAATCAGGTATGCTGGGAATAAGAGAAAGAAACTCATTTCTCTAAAAGAGTGGTTTTTAAAAAATTTACTTGGTGTGAGTTATGTTCTCAAAAGAGTTGTTAGCAGAATCTTAACAGCTTTATGTCCCTTTGAAGCACAAGTCATCATGCAAGTATGGGTCAACTTAACCTATACTTGAGCGAGAACCCAGGTGCTCTCATGAAGGGAACTGAGTACAAAGAACTTTCTGTTCTGGAACTGGGTATCCAGAGAAGTCTCATTATGAAGACCGAGGCAAAGTGGGCAGTAAATACCTTGGCCTTTCCCTCATCCTTTGTCACTACATTTACCTCTGCAACCAACAAAGGATGGAGATTCTCCTTAGCCCTTCTTTTGTTGCTGATGTATCTATAGAAACATCTTTTATTTTCTTTTAAGGTAGTAGCCAGATAAAGTTCCAGCTGGGGTTTGGCTCTTCTAATTTTCTCTCTGCATAACCTCATGACATCCACGGAGTTCTCTGGCATAGTCTGGGCATAGTCTGCCCTTATCTCTACAGGTCAAAAACTCTGTAAACTCTACCTTTTTTTTTTTTTCTTTTTTCTCCTGAGTTCCCTCTAAAGCTCTCTCTTCAGCCAGGCTGCTTTTCTTCCCTGCTGGCTCTTCCAACACATGGGGACAGCCTGCTCCTGTGCCTTGAAGACTTCTATCCTGAAGAATGTCCAGCCTTCCTGGGCACCACTGCCCTTCAGGACTGTCTCCCTAGTGACTCTCTCAACAGGTCTCCTAAACAGGCCAAAATCTGCCCTCTGGAAGTCCAAGGTGGCAGTTCTACTGATCCCCCTACTTACTTCTGTGAGAACTGATAACTATAATTTCAGGAAAACTGTGCCGAAGGCATCCTCCAATTTTCTCATCACACAACAGTCTTTTAGCAAAAAACAGATCCAGTGGGGTGCCTTCCCTATTTGGCTCCCTCATCAGCTGCATTAGGAGCACACACTCCAGGAACCTCCCAGACTCCTTCCTCTCTGTGGCATTATATTCCCAGCAGACATCTGATAAATTGAAATCCCCACAAGGAAAAGGGGCAGCAATCTTGAGACTGTTCTTTGGTCCTATGTTCCATGACTCCCTAAAATCAGATCAACAGCTGTATCAGTCAAAGTAGGAAAAGCAACTGGTGCTGAAAAAAAACAGTGCAAACTATTTTGCTCAGTTTTGTTCCTAGGTTAGCAGTCATTTGCAAAAATCAGATTTACCAGTTTTAAAATCTTGAAGGACTTATGTAAGATGAAACTGCATGCATTCAATTAACTTGTTTCCAACACAAAACAAATGGACAAATTTGTTTTGACAAATTTTCTTCCCTCATTCTTATATGTTCTGGGTAGCTTTATTAGTCAAATAATATTGTACATTCTAAAAGAAAAATCAGATTCCATTAAAATGCAATTTAGAGAGACAAGAAAGAAATGTATCTATAAATAAAAATACAACTTCCACCACTTAAAAGAGAACATAATGGATAACTGGAAAAAATTTCAATAAATCAAGAAAGATGTTAAAAAACATTAAATAATTATTTGCAGAAAATAAAGTTTAAAGTTTTGATTATCTTCATTCGCAATCAGATGTATTTTAATGTCTTTCATAAGTTTATAAATTTTTTTGTATTCTGTACCCAGACCACTCACAACATGCCATTATTTAAATCACTAATGATATTTAGAAATATCCCTTAAATCCATTTAGTTGAGACTACAATCCAACATATTATAAGCCATCACAGGTTCTACATTTTGTCAACCAAGCAGAAGAAAATAGTACACTTGTTAAATCCACCTCTTTGAATCAAAACCTAACATCTTGCCTCTCTGCATATTGATTTTCCTCCAGCATAAATCACTCACCCATACTCAGACTGTCTGCTTGGGTAATAGGGCAGAAGGGCAGACATGAAATTACTTACAGTCTACTAAATTCCCTCTCCCTGCTGTTAAAACCTGGCCTACACTTCTGGGTGTCCCAACACTCTGTGACATTTACTCCAGGACACTGGAGATGCTCCTGTGTTATTCTGAAGGCTACCAGCAGTGACCTCAGTTACTTTAAGACATGAATGATATTCTTCACAGTTACCATACAAGTTCTATTGGGGGGCAGAAGAAAATCTGGGGCTATGAAATGACATAAGGAATGTATTTACTCAGAGAGACATAAAACAAAAAGGTTGAATTTTCCATCACAATCTACATGTACATGTGTCCTGGTTTTGTCTAGGAAGTAAAATTAAAGTTTCTTTCTAGTAGCTGGTACAATGCTGTGTTTTGGATTTAGGATGCGAGTTATGTTGACAACATGCTGATCTCTTAGCAAGCAGGGTTTACACTAAGCTGGGAAGTTTTCAGCTTCTCACACCAACCCACCTCCAAGTAGGCTGGGGGGCACAGGAAGCTGGCAGAAAATACATCCAGGATGATCCAAACTGGCCAAAGGGATATTCCATACCATGGGGTGTTATGCTCAGTATATACACCAGGGAGAAAGCCAGTTGGGGGCTGCTGCTCAGGAACTGGCTGGGCATCGATTGGCAGCAACTGTACTGTGCATCACTTGTTTTGTATATTCTTATTATTATCCATTCCTTCTCTGCTCTATTTAAAAGTCTTCATCTCAACGCACAAATTTTACTTTTTTTTCCCCTCCAGTTCTCTCCCCCATCTCACTGGGGAGAGGGGAGCAAGCACTTGTGTGGTGTTTAGCTGCCTGCTAAGTTAAACCAGAGCAACGAAATTAGGAGAAAAAGCACAGTAAGCAAATAAAGAGACACTAATTAGCTGATCGTACTCCAGACATACTCTTACAAATATGCAATTTGCAGTAATAAAGTATTCTGACACTGTCTAGCTGAAGTCATGAATTAATAATAATAATAATAATAATAATAATAATAATAATAATCTGTAATACCTTCTACTTTGCTGCAAGTTAGCTCTTTACACAAAGTCCTTGGGTTAACTCCGTAAACTGCCTATCACGTTACAGCAGCCCTGAGGACACGGCAGGGCTGCTTATCTTGGCAGGCAAGAAGCCAATGGGGTGTCCCTTTTACCTATGGGTGCGGTGTAAACACTGAGGCAGAACTTTTGTTGTGGTCACATCAGACCTCTAAATGTAACAGCTGCAGGTCATTCCTTGCTGGAAACTGCTATGGCTTTTCATGCTCACAAATGTGTATACAGCACAAGGTTTTAGACGGTTTCTGATTTTATAGTATCTAAGGACAGGCCCATCAAAACCAGAGATCTTTCCTTTAAGGAAAGGCGCAACTTGCACTGCGACATGGTGCCAAAAAACCAGATCTCCATGGTAAACACATCGTATCATTTCTATCCTTTAAAATTTGCTGTGGACGTCACTTCCTCACCGCTCAACCCCAAGCATAAACCCACTTCTGAAATCATATGCCATAGCCCAGACACAAACTTCATTCAGCTGTTCACCAACTGCACATCTCAAACCATCTCCATTGTGCACAATCCTGTGTTCATTAGGCAGAACAAGGGTAACCAGGGACACTCTGGACACCAAAAAAGCAGGAGAAAACCTTGATAGCAACAGAATGTGATGCAAACACACATTGCTGCGTGGAGTCAGCACTGAATGTTTATTAGCACCAGCTATTTTCAGCCCCACAGCCCTTCTTCTCAGGGCACTCCCTCACACCTGAGGTTTGTGGAATACTTGTGCCTTGCAGAACACAGAGCTCACCACAGCTATGTAAGTTTAAAGGCTTCTGTTCCCAGTTCTTGCCTGAGAGATGATTCACAGCACAGGTAGCTCACATGTCCTTTCCCGTGGTCCAGCTGAGTGGTAAAGTAAACAAACTCCCATTGGGCAATGCAATTCTGCCAGTGTGGGTGAACAGCACCCCCGTGAACACAGCAGACAGCTAAAGGTGACCAGGCCTACACCTAACTTTTGCAAAAAAACCTAGTGTGTCCCTTTCACTGACAGCCAGAGAAAGCAGGCAGACAGCCTGGTATCCTGTGTGGTGGGAAGAGTGAACTCTGAGCCTCACTGCACCCTGAGCATGGACACAGCACATGGTGCCAGGCTTTGGCTGCAGCCTGCCCCCACCTCTCCTCTGCCAGGAAATGGGGCAGCACACAGGCAGACATGAGCTATACCAGGTTCACAAAATCACAAAGTCATTAGGGTTGAAATGGATCTCTGAAGATCATCTAGGCCAACCTCCTGACAAGGGAGGGTCACCTTGAGCAGGTGACACAGGAACACATCCATGTCGGTTTGGAATGTCTCCAGGGAGGGAGACTCCATGACCTCCAAGGGCAGCCTGTTCCAGTGCTCTGCCATCCTCACTGTAAAGAAGTCCTTTGTCATGTTGAAGTGAAACTTCTTGTGTTTTGGCTTATGGCCTTTGCTCCTCATCCTGTTGCCAAGCAGCGCCAAAAAGAGTCGGGCACTATCCCCATGACACCCACCCCCGAGATATTTATATGCATTAATGAGCTCCCCTCTCAGTCTTCCCTTCTCCAGACTAAACAGGCCCAGCTCCCGCAGTGTCTCCTCAGAGAGATGCTCCAGACCCTTCCTCATCTTTGCGGCCTTCCACTGGACCCTCTCCAGCAGCTCCTTGTCTTCCTTGCATTGAGAAGCCCACACCCAGCACAAGTACTTCTGACTTAAGGTAGGGACAACCTCTGTCCTATCCCTTTTTCCTAATACCCCATACCCTGGCGCCTTTGCGGCAGTCCGGAGCCTGGGGGCTGCCCATTCCCGGCGCTCCGAGCAGGGCCCGGGCCCAGTGCCGGGCCCAGGCCCGGTCCGGTCCCGCTGTCGCTCCAGGGCACGGCTCGGCTCCTCCCGAGGCCGCAGCTCCCCGCGCCCCTGCCCCAAGCACGGCCGGGACCCCCCGCCTCGGCGGGAATCCCCGCGTCCGCCGCCCCCCGGAGCCCTTCCCCGCACCTGTAGCCGTAGCAGCTGAAGCGCTGGCTCTCCCGCAGCAGGGCGCGGTACAGACGCAGCACCTGGGCACGGCTGGACGCTGCCATGTTGCCGACACCGAGCCGCTCCTCCCGCGGCGAGGCCCCTTTTCCCCGCCCTCCCGCCGCCCGCGCCGGGCGCAGCCGCGGCGGAGCGGAGCCGCAGGGCCGGCGGTGAGTGGCGGAGCGGGGCGGCAGCGGCCGCGGCTCGGCCCGGGCCCAGCGCAAGGCGCGGGCGGGACGGGGAGGGGCGGGGAAGAGCGGCTCCCCGGCCGAGGCAGCCCCGGCAGCGGTGGGCTCGGGGGACTCGGGGTCGGCTCCCGGGTCCCGCCGGGTGGGGCCTGCCCGGGAGCTCCGGCGGGGATCGCAAGGCGCGACTGCCGCGGGGTGCCTGTTGGGCTCGGCTGTGCGGTTGTGGAGGGCCCGGGGGCGGGGAGGGAAGGCCCGAGCGACGGGAAAACGAAAGCAGCGCTCAGATGCCGTGCTCGGCGGGGCCAGCAGCGCCGTGTGCGCGCTCCGTGCTTGGTTGGTGTGCCGCCCTGGGAGGTGGGTGCTGCCGGGAGGAGAGGGATATCGGGGCTGGAAAGGAGCAACAAGTGATGCGTGCAGGGAGTTGCCTCGGAATCGCTGTATACGTTTGCAGTCAGTGTTCAGGTACTGGAGAGGATCCAACAGAGGCTACGAAGATAATTTGGAGTCCAGAGCATCTGTCTTCATGAGGAGAGACTGCGGGTGCTGGGCCTACTCAGTCTGGAGAACAGAGGACTGAGAAGGGATCTCATTAATGCGTATATGAAAGGTGGATTACAAGAGGGTGATACTAGGCTCTTCAGTGAGGCCCAGCAAAAGGATGAGGAGCAGTGGCCATAAACTAGAACCCAAAAGTTTCACCTCAGTGTGAGAAACAACTTTACATTAAGGATGGCAGAACAGTGGAACATGCTGTGCTGGAAGCTTGTGGCGTCTCACTCTCTGGAGACATTGAAAACCCACCTGGATACATTTCTTTGTCGCCTGCTCAAGGTGACACTGCCTTGTCAGGGGAGTTGAACTACATGATCTTCAGAGGTCCCTTCCAACCCCAACATTCTGTGATTCTCTGAAATCACTACAGGCAATTGCAGATGTACATCTGTGCTAGTGTACCAGGGCCTGTTGTGTTATAGTGATGTTTGAGTTGTTCCTCTCTCAATACCTATTTTAAAGATGAATTCTGTTACGTAAACCACACATCAAGTATCCTCTTTTGCTCTAAGTTTTGCTGCTGCAGAATGAACTTAACTTTGTAACTTGCAGGTATTATGCTGCAGCTGTATTTAATACTGATTTTTAAATTTTATCAGCAATTTATTTAATGCCATAGAATCATTCATGTTGGAAGAGACCTTTAGTCTCCAGTCTAACTGTCCACCCTGCACCTCTACTGTAACCTCTAAACCACCTCGCCAGTGGCACATCCAGGAGTCTCTTGCACACATTCAGGGATGGTAACTCCACCATCTCCCTGGGTAACCTATTCCAATGCTTGACTACCCTAACAATGTATTTTTTCCCCTAATATCTAACCTGTATCTCCTCTGTCTCAGTTTAAGGCCCTTTCCTCTGGTCCTCTCACTGCAGGCACAGCAGAAGAAATCAGTCCCCACTTCTCTAGAACCTCCTTTCAAGGTATCATGATAGAGTTCCTACTTCCTTCACAGTTTGTTATTTATATAGTGTTTAAAACAACTGTCATGTAGATATTTTACATGTCTCTGGCAAAAGTGCTTCAATTGCTGCTTCTAATTTAACTCATGTTTTATTGCACATGCATTTGAGTATTATTGTCAGTTGTACATCTGATGCAATTTACAGTTTGTGGCAAAGAACTAAAATATTCTGTGCTTTTGGATGTAATTAGTATAGACACATGAATTTATTTCAAATTTACCTTTATGGATATGCTGTGTTTTAGCAGCCCTTTTAAATTTCTGGAAATGGGGATTTTCTGTATGTAGAAAATTTTCTGGATATTCTCTTTATCAAAACCCAAACTAGAAATGCTACAGGAAATGTAGAAAAACATATGCAGCTGCAGTACTGGGAAAAGCATCATGCTTCTGAAGCCTTCCCTTGTAAGTTACCAACCAGTGTGTTTTGGGTTAGGTCTTGGCATTCAGGACACCCACATGGAGAAATACAAAGCAAGCATGCCCTTCATTTGCCAGTGGGACCAACCAAATTGTCCTTGTAGCCCAAGCCATGTTGTTAAAGCAGATTGCCGTGCCAGAAGCAGAGCCCATCTGGGTGCTGGTGCTCCCCATCTTTGCAGCTGTTGGTGGCTGGCCAGCACCAGCCATAATACATGTTATAGCAGAACTCTGGCTTTGTGTCCACAGACTTATACCATCTCTGAAAGCAGCAGTGGCCACCCTGCCCTGTGTTATGAGGGTGGGCTTCAGACAGCTTAGAGCAATATGGGTCTGTCAGGTACAGAGCCAAACTGAGGTTGGAGAGTTTAGCAAAGTTACCAAAGTGATACCATTCTGTGGATGAGTGTGGCAGTTGTTCCATCTAATTTTACACCAGCCCTCACGTATTGTTGGAAATACTGTTTTCATGGTGAAATCCTCAGCTCTAAAAGACGAGGGAGTAATTGGGTTGAAAACATTCAGCAAATTTTGTTTACAAGAACAGTATGAATTTAATATTTGAAAAGCAATTAAAAATTATTTTTAGATAGCTTCAGATCATAATCCTGTTCCTGAAACTCCCTGACAGTTTTTATGACTTTTATTTTTAAATTTTTTTTTAAGGTAACCATGTTTTTCTCTTCAGAAAGCCTAGAAACGTCTTATGTTTAGAATAAACAGTAAGCTCATGCAGTGCATGATCAAATGCATAGTAAATTTATCAAAGGAGAAAAGAAATCTTTCCTCTTGTCTCCTTTTTTTAGCTTAACCTTTAATACACTCAGGGAGGGAAGATTAATTTTTGTCAGAAAGGAGTCACCTTTGTGCAGTTGGGTTGGCACTGTTAAGTGGGAAAATGAATTCCTTTTTTTTCATTTGTTATGTTTTCTTGGAAGCGATGGGTTACGGTCCCAGAAGTTGTGTCATTCTGCAGGAAGTGGACACTGCTGTGGTTGGGATACAGGTGGTTCTGCTGGCCTTTGTTTATGGCACCACTGCACATTCAAAGGACAGACAGCCCAAATGACCACTGTGTGTCCTATGACACTGGAGCCTGTGTATGGGGAAGCAGCAATAACTAACCATTTCATTAACTGCCTCCTCATTCCTGAGGGGAAAACCGCACCTGGATTTAGGGTTGGTGATTTTCATTTCTACAGAAGTCTTTGCTTTCAGCCTTTGGTCTGGGAAGGGAGGTGGCATGTCCCTTGCCTTTCTGCATCTCTTGGGATAAATAAGCACTTTGAGAGGATATAATGGTATCAGGACCTAGAATATTTCAGTGTGTACTTGCTAAAAGAGGGGAGGGGAAGGAGTTTGGAGGAAGTACCTGTAGGGACTGGAATGGGAAGAAAGAGCTGTTCTATTCTCTGGGACATATTCGATATCTTGTCATCTGTTGCTGAATTGTTCTTTGTGGTTCCTTTTTTCAGCTTCATGACATGGCACTGAACACTTTCAGTGCTTTCCTGGTATGCTGCTGTTGGTTTTCATTATTTTTCTCTGGGGGTCAGAACAATAATTGATTGTTGTGATATTATAATCTCTTCAGTAATTGTTTTTCATGCTATTTTTTCCATGTTGCAGTGGTGTGGTGTCTCTTTTCTTTCCTTGTCTTAGCTGTTGGTTGATAGGGTTGTGCACAGTGAGATCCTACACAGTGTAGAGTAGGATCTTTAAAAGAAGGATTATAAATCACAAGAATTTTGGGATTTCAGAGACAAATGTAACAAACTGTAATTCAACTGTTCTGTGTGGTGAATTAAGATTTCCACAGTATCATCAGGAGGCCTTGACTGACTCTGGTATTTAAAAAAAAATTGTATTTAGTTGGTTGCCCTGTAGAAAAGAACATTTTTATTTAGGAGGAGAAACTTCCATATTTCATATTCAGCTATACTCCTGAATTCTTTGTGCATTTAAAAAAATTCTAACCGGAAGTTCAGAGGGAAGAAAAAAATGGTGACAAAACTCTTCTCTCGGTCAGCTTTTTGTGAGTTACCCCATCTCCTTCCAAACTGAATTGCAGAATGCTGTGTGCTGTTTAAATTACAGTAATAATTGTAAGGACAGTAATAATAGGAAAACCAAAACACAACTAGTAGTGCAATTCCTGTTGTAATACTTGGTTTTCTAAGGGAACACCTGTTTTACCACTGCTCCTAAACCTTTCCTGGTTCATGATCTCTTGTGCTGCAGGCATCAGACTAAAAGAAACACTGAATTTTGTTTTCCTTCTTCGCCACAGTTTTAACTTTCTAATTTCCTGTGACTTAAGTCCTCCAGAGGACTTCATGGGCATTGTGTTATCTGACAATTAAGGAGCTGGACACTTCACCAGTCACAGGATAACTTCTGGATCCATGAAAGACAGTATTACACCCCATATAGATTTTGAAAGATGTTTTTAGTGGACGTATGTTGGTAAAATCCTTTGAAATGCTTGAAATAAAAATACTATAAAAGTCCAGAATTAAAAGGATAATTTTGTGTTACAGGCAAAAGAATAACTAATAGGGGATTAAAATTACCAGTAATGCTTAAATAGCTCAGCATGTAATAGTTGCATCAAACGCAAATGACACTTATAAACACTTCTAACCTTAATGCTAATGAAGACAAGAACCCAAGAAGAAATGAACATATTTTTCCTGTGTGTTTTTTTGTTATACTGAAATCTTGCTCAGAAATCTAATCATGAGAAGCATAAAGGGGACAGGATTAATGAAATGTTCTCATCCATGACCTCATAAATTCAGAAATACTTTCTTTGCTGTGCTTTCCAGTGTTTTATCAAATTTTGCCTTAAATAACTTCTCAGTCTGTGAGAAAATATATTCTACTTTATATTGTATTGCTGTTAAGAAATGTTTTCTGATGCTCATCCTATGCCACCCTCTTCCCTGAGTTCATCCCACTTTTTCATTTATGCCCCTTTAGAGTCACGCTGTATAATCCTTCTCCCTCTTCTGTGATTTATACTATCATCATATTTCTCAGTAGCTGTCAGCCAGCCAGGCTAAATGATGTAGTTATTTTGATATTTTTTTCTGTCCTCTTTCAGAGGATATTGAAAATTTTAGCTTAGGAAGCAAACTTAGAAGTAAAACAAGGAGTGATATTTTGTTTAAGAGCAATTTAGATTCTCTTTGTAGCCGCCCCTGTGTATTTTTTGCTGACTTGGGATTTCCAGTTTGGCAGGTTGATTACAAATGGTACTGCTGATCTTTTGAGTTAAAGATCATGATTGCACTTAAGACACTTTGCTAGAGCAAAGTTCTTTTTTCTCTTGAGTTTATTTTTTGTCATGTATAAACGTGTATGTGAGTGTGCACGTGAAAAACATGTAAATATGTATTCAGGCATGTACATGGTCATAATGTAGTGGTAAAGGTCTTGCCTTCATCTCTAATTCTCCATGTTTCAGCCTGGGGATTGGTGCACAGCTAACACCGTGATGTGGGGTTTTCTGCTTACCCAGTCCCATGTCTCAAGTATGTGAAATCAAAGACATCCTGCTGCTTGTGTGCATCCCACTTCTGCTCCCTGGATTGTGGGCATGGCCTTTCTTGTCAGGTGACACTAGGGGCTAGCTCCACTCAAGGACTACTGCTTAAGTCCTCCATGAAAATCTGCTTCAAGTAGTCGTTTTCTTATAAATAATTATTGTGTGATTATTTGTTGGAAACAATTCCTCGATCAAAGTATCAGTAGGTGTAGAAGTGTCACGTTGCTATGAGGTAGTTTGGATCTGATGTAAGGAAACACGTTATCCAAGGACCTATCTTTCTTTTAGTGAAAGGAAAATTAAGCAAAATTGTTGTTTACAGTGGATGGGTAAATCATCAAGGATTGAGTGGATTTTAAATAGGCAATCTGTTTAGTTTTCTGATTGTGGGATAAGGGGAGGGGGAATATGATTTTCCACTTGTAACACATTTTCATTTTATATGGTGCTGTGCATCCGTGTATGACTTTTTGTTCTAGTAGCTTGGACTTTTGATCCAGGAGAAAAGTAAACAGTTTGAATGGGAAGCTGAAGCAGATTGTTTCCAGAGATGAAAGAAGACTATGGAGCAATGCTTTAATTGAAATAAGGAAAACAACATAGCCATATTAGGGATTGTAGTAATGGTAGAGTTTAAGATACTTACTTTTGCATGATCCTTGACATTTTTGATCTTTCATCTTGTGTCACTATTGGTTTTATGTCCTCAGAGCTCTGACAATGAGTGATAGTGCATTAGGGACATGTTCCTGTGTATATCATGCTTCTCATGCATTTGTAAGATCAGCTGAATTGTCAATACTTTCTTACATGCCTTCACAGGTCTAGATAGAACTCTCTTTTTATTTCATTTCTGCTTTTGTTTTTTATATCTGGAGTGACTCTGTCAAAATTTTTTTTCAGCCTGAGAAGGAGCAAAGTACTGACTAAAGCTAGCAGGCAAAAGAAGCAGAGCTGAAGAAAGATTATCTCTGCTTGCAGGTAAATAAGTAAAAATAAATTTCACTTTCTGAATCTTTGACACCAGCACTACCAGCCTGTTTAGTTAGTAACAAGTTTTCAGTCCCTCTCCATTTTAATGAATAGTTAAATTTTAATTTATTTCGTAATTTAAAAATATGTTTCTTCATCTTCACCAACTGCTAAGGACATGTATGATAGCTATATAAATTTGCTTTCCATATAGAATTAATTCATTTTCTTACTCCTTATACAAAGAAAATTATGAGACTTGAGACATAAAGATAGGTGTGTAACAATAATGAGAGAGAGAGAAAGAGGGAGAGGTAGAAGATAATAATCTTCTGAAGAAGAAATTCAGAATTTATCATCTTTATATTGGAGTATGTCCAGATCCTTGAATATAATCCCTTTGAAATCTGCCTAACTACCTAGGCAATAAGTTGCTGTTCAGTGTGAGAAGAGGTGACAAATTAAGTTCTCCTCATATTACATGCCAGTTATAATTGATGTGGGATAGGATAGGATAGGATAGGATAGGATAGGATAGGATAGGATAGGATAGGATAGGATGCTCTGGTGAATGGAGAATGAACTCAGGGATCTATGGAGAGGCAATAGTTAGGACTTTACAAACCCCACCATTATCTTCCAGTCTCTTACCTACATGACCCCATGGCAGCATCAGTGAAAGGCAGTGTGTGCCAGTGGCTCCTAATAAGGTTTGTGTCTTCCCTCCAATGAGTGGGAAGAGTGGGAATGAGTGTTGATTTGGATGGGGATGCAGACCTATGAAGTGGAGCTGCCAACTTTCCTATAGGAATGGGTTTACATTCTGCTGAAAGGTGGGAAAGAGGAATGGGGGAAGAAATAGTTTGAAATACTATTCTGGGAACATTTGTGAGAGGTCATCTATCTGGAGGCTTGAATTAAGTATCTCCTTGTTCTACAATTTCTGTGATTAACTTTTTCAGGTGTGTTTTGTAGCATAGTATTAGTTTAGACCAAGGTCAGGTTGTGGGCATTTTTGTTGTTGCTGCTGTTGTTTTATTTTGTTTGTTTGTGTGTTTGTTTTAATCTGGTGGTACACATAATTTGTTTCCTTTAATTAATGTTTATGCACTTGATTTTAATTATTGTTTAACTTTTTCCTTTTTTGGAAATGGTTCCTGATCAGGTAGATGTGCTGTGTCTGAAATGGAAAAAAACAGATAAGCAGAGCCAATTATCAGGTCCTCACACCGATTTAATAGTACTTTTTTGTGTGTGTGTATGTAGGATTTCAAAATTGATTTGACTTTCAAGAAAGTTTTCAAGACCTTGACTGAGAGTGTTACTTACTTTTGAGAGAATTTGCATAATTTTTTAAATTGCTTTCTTACTTATTTTGACTATGAACATAGCTTTTTTTAATGTTTGTTTTAACTTTGATTTTATTATACTAGTTAGTTACAGTGTGAAAATTGCGTAATGCATTACACCAGCTCTTCCCATGGGAAGGCAGTATTGTAAAATGGACAGATATGGTATTATATGTGTAAAATTACCACATATTAAAAAGGTAATTAAATATTGGCTCTATATAGGTTTGTTGAACTTAGAATAGCTGTTTGCTTTTTATGTTGGCACACTAACTTTGTACAGTTTTATAAAAGAATGTTGTTCTAAACATATAGGTGTGGCTTGAAAGAGGTTAACTTTTTCTGTTTCCCTTCTGTCCCTCTTCCTCCCTGCACAGATTGTGGTTCTTGTTCCACCCTCCACTTCCACTTGCAGTGTGTCTTATTTTTATACTGCCATTGTATCCCTGTTCTGTTGTGGTAGGTTATATTCTTAATATAGTATTCATTCTACAAACAGAAACTCTGCTGGATAGACTTGAACTAAGTATGTGGGAGCACCATGTTTATTCTAGTTACTTTGTCAGACTTCCTGAGTTGTTATTGAAAGGATTCATTTTTAATAAACTAAATTTAAGAGATATTGCAGATTCTACCAAATCCTATTTTGTTGCCTGGTATTAGGAGTTCATTTGACCCCAGTGTCCCCTGGGGTCCCAGTCCTGACCCTGAGTGGCAGGTCCTGCTGGGCCTGTGTGGAACAAAATCTTTCAGCATGTGGCACATTGCAATTCTACAGATGGTTTTAAAGAAAACAAACCAAAACAATTATTATGTTTTAATTTTGATTCTCTCAGTATGTAACAGATGTGGCATTAACTGAAGATTGTTTTGTCATATGTGACCTTGAGCTATAATAACATCTTATTCTTCATTAATAATAAAACTTGATTCTTTCATGTTGTTATTTTCTTTACTTCCCTGACTTTCATATCTTCTTACACCTAGTCAATGTGTATGTCTTGGCTCAGAATGCAAGATGAGAGGATGTTGTCTTTGGTATCTCAAGACTGGATGGAGAAATACTTCTGTGTATAGTCTTAAATATATATATGTATATACAAATACACACACACACACACACACTTCTGTGCTGTAGTCTGAGATGTGCATTCTGAGTTCTGTCTTAAGTTTTCTTTCACTGAGGCTTGTTCTGAGGGGAAATGTGGCTTGCAAATTTCTGGTGTCACAGAAGGGTTCTCTGATATAATTAAAATACGTGGCTTTCTCAAAGCTTTTCAAACAAAGATTTTAGTTTGTTCGTTGAGCTGGGCTTTGTCTAGAGTAAGTATATCAACATTAGCAAGCCTTACAGAGATGTTCCCCAGGAAGATTACAGATGTTAAAACATTAAGCTGCTTGGGACCCCATTTTCCTAGGAAGCTGTGAGTGGACTCAAGTGTTTCCTATTTTCTAGCTTTAATGACAAGGAAAGAAGTTAGCAACACTAGTCTTGTTCTTTTTAATGTGATACTTTAAAGCCATTTTTTTTTATCTGGTGGTAGTGGGACTGCATGAAGACACAATTTAAATCTGTATTAAGTCATGCTTGTCTTGCTTTGCTTGCTACAGAATATTTTGGAACTAGTTCTTCTTTAAGGAGTTATTGGAGATGTCAGCACCTCTGAAATGCTGTAAAGGCAGTCATGTTCAGATGTAATCAAATACAGTGTTACGAGGTAGGTTTTCCTGAATATATATGAATCAATCCTGGCTCTAAAATTTTAACAAAATCATAGTACAGCTGTATCAGGAAATTATAACAGGATTGAGCAAATGCATTTTAAAATTTGACTTATATTTACTTGAATAGGCAGAACTTTAAATTGAGGGGACTTATATTTATCATGAATATTTATCAGCAGCATTGTTTATAATTCAGAGTCAGTTGTTGCAGTTGAAGTATTTGTAAGGAAAAGACTACTTTTTTACCCTTAGGCTTTAAACATAGTTAATACATTTATTTAGCTGTAGTTACAGAAGGTGTTTCATAATATAAGTAGAATTTTTGCAAATCAGGTTTTCTGTCTTTTCATAACCCATATACATTCATAACTGTAGAATATGCAAGGTAAAGTTTTTAAGCTGGTTGATGGAGGTTGGCTAGGTGGTTAATTCTTGAGTGCCTTCTTGGGTACACTTGTCCTTAAAAGAGTCTTAAAATAAGACTTTCTTAAAGTCTTAAAGCTTGTCCTTAAAATAAGTCTTTCATCTTGCAGCTCAGCAGTGTATTGGAAGACTGAGGAGGCAGTACACAGGCTTGATAGTCATGTGGAATTTAGAAGGGGTACATTATCCATTCACCTGTGGCAAATTTTAGTGCTGGAATCAAGGAAATAACAGCAAAGTGTTTAAAAAATAAATATGTAAATAGAGTAAATAAGTTTGCTAAGGAGACCAGGTCAAAGGAAAGCGCACTGAAAATGTTAGCAGTGCAATCTTACTTCATTTTTGTTTTACCTTCTGAAATTCGTTTTGCTGTGAGACCAGCTGTATGGAGACAGTTACTGTGATTGTGTGAGACTTGCTGGCAGAGCTGTCTGTATTGTTTTCAGATTTTGCTGTTCATGGAGTCCAGCATTTTGTGTAGGTTAAATGGGTTGGAATGAACTGTGTCATTTAGAAACTGATGTGGTGAGTTGTTTTGGTTTTTTTCCTTTTACAACATGCAAGTCAATACTGCACCCTGTGTAGGCTAGCTGCTTTTCCCTATACTTCTGGTTTTTCTTTTTTCATGCTTTACTCATGTTTGCACCCCATGTGATTTGGGATCAAATGCAAATGATGATACAAAGTTTCTAAACAAATTTAGTTTGCTGTAACAGCAATTTTTTAAAATTCTAGCTTAAAACTTTGGGTTAATAGTTCTTGAGAGATGAGGGGGTCTTCTGCTTCTAGACCACTGTAACAGTTAGGGAGCACAACAGCCTAAGTCACTAACACGTAAGTGGGAGAATAAAAAAAATCTGGTTATTGATTGCTGTTTCAGTCAATAGAAAAGAGCTTCAGTGATAAGAAATTGTACAAAAACAGTAAAAGTTTTCACATTATGAAAGAAAAGGTGTTGCAGCAAATAGAATTTACTTCTTAGTAGGTCCCATTTAACATTTCAAAGACAGTGGGCTCTTATTAAGGAGAATGAGCTGATAGCAGTGTTTTAAAGTATAAGTATCTCTTTTTCTTTCAAGAGCAGTATTAGCACGTGGGTAAATTTATAGGACTCAGTTTTTACTTGTATCTTAAACTATAAGTCTGTTGTCCTGTAACTATGCCATACTCAGGCAAGGGCTGAGTTTAAGGAGCATTTCTTACATGTCTGGACCCAGTAAAAAAGCCCTGCTAACATCGGTTTTAATTCGATGCCTAAAAGTGGCTCTGCAGAAAACTTCCCTGTTGAAGAGAAACAGGAGAAAGACGGTACGGATTTCAGTCATCATTTTCTGACATCCCTCTCTTTACATCTCTTCCGTCTCACACAGTGGTTGAGAGAGAAGGGGCAAGTATACTGGGAGATCATTTCACATTCTGATTCAGGATTTTAGGACTCCCTGAGAGACGATTTTGCCTTGTATGGGAATAAAATCCTGCAGTTCTGACTCCCTGCTAATGAAGTTCCCAGTG